AGGATATAATAGAGTAAGCGACGCAGAATTTTTACATACCCTATTGAGCAATGTGGGTCACGTGGCTTTCTAAATAACCTATACATTCCAAATCATTATGTTATTTTTCAAACCATAAGAGTTATAGAGATGGTCCCAATACAAAATTTGTTAAGCAATAATAGCTGCGTACAATGAAAAAAGAATTATTAAAATTGGACCAGTACTTTAGTTTTTATGGCCCAAAATGTCATAATTCTGGAGAAAATTGATAAAATATCGAAATTGTTTTGAGAAAATAAAATATTTTGACCAGTAGAACGATGAATACTATAAAGATTACCACTACCCATAGCCTTAACATTGTCTTAGATATAACATAAGCCCATAATATTAAGATTGCCACAGACTTAATTTTCTTCATATATTTAACTGGCCATTGGCCCTGGGCCAAGTAAGCATCAGTCCATAGGATTAACATTACAGAATACTCAACTTGCTTAAGTCATAAAAACTTAACTACTGCTCCGATTTTAATAATTCTTTTTTCATTGTGCGCAGCTATTATTGCTTAATAAATTTTGTATTGGGACCATCTCTATAACTTTTATGATTTGAAAAATAACATAATGATTTGGAATGTATAGGTTATTTAAAAAACCACGTGACCCACATTGCTCAATAGGATATGAAAAAATTCTGCGTCGCTTACTCTATTATATTCTTTTTACAGAATCTAATTATCTTTTATAGTTTAAAAGATATAACAAAAACGCGACGCGCAAGATTAATTGAACTCCTAATTACATTGATAATTAGCTATAAAACTGCTATATTTCTAAATATGTTAAAATTAAATTAACTTTTAAATACGGTATATATATATATATTTTTAGTAGTTTCATAAATATAAAAATAGACTAACAAAATATAATATAAATTGTATTAACTAGTTTAATTATATAATATGAGAATATCTAAGTAATAATTTTAACATATTAATTATTTTTACAAATTTCTTATTAGTCATTATAAGCGTATAATTGTAAACATTAATAACTTAAAATTTTAGTCACGATTAAAATCACGGTAATTTTATAACTCAATTATTAGATCATTTTACCTTGGTTTAAATAAAAATATAATAGTGTTTAATAAAACCACGAATAGAAAGATAATCATCACAAACTGATCAATCCTTTTAAAGACTAATAGCTGTCTTATTAAATATAACAATTGTACTTCAAATGTAGTTTTGTTTAAAATATCAAAAATTTTGGACAATTTAAGACATTTTCTTACAAGTTTCTAGAAGGTTTATCGTATAATATTGTCTCTATGGAATTCTGATTTTAATTATTAGTTATTAGAAACTTCTCGGATAAAGTTTTTACTTGCCATTTGCAATAAATTTTATGTTTTACCAACTTTTCATTGTTAGATATAAGCAACCGTCAAAAAATAATAACACAAAATAAAGTGGTTTGGTAAATTTTAGTAGTTGATTTAATTTTGTATACATTTACCATTAAATATAGTATTATTTAATTTTTTTTAAATCACAAATAAATATTTAATGTATTTATAATTAATGGTTTAAAAGAATATTTAACATGTGTTATTGAAATCGTTTTTAAATCTAGTGAACGCTACCTATAATGACATTAAATTAGATATTTATTGTAAGTTTTACTAAACTCTTTGAATTACCATTTTCTTCAAGGATAGGATGTTTTTACAACAAATTCATAGATAATGTACAGTAAATGATAGATAAGTAAATAGATTTTGAAAAGCGTATGAAAATGGATATACAATCGGAGAAAAAACAAAATCCTTGAATCACTCCAAAGAATATTCAAGAATTTATTACAAAATGAAATTATGATCATTTCAGTTATTAGCCGAGATGTATTTTTAACCATATTTGAACACGTCTATAAATATTAGTCCGGCATTTTTTTTTGTTTAAAATAGTTTAAGGCAAGATTATGCTTACCATCGTTAGTAGATTTAGTGAGAGTGCAAATTGCAGACATATAATTAATGACTGAACAATAATTGTCTCATATTTGCTCATCTCTTCAAACAATAAACAAAAGACAAACGTTAACTCAATTATACAAATTACATGATATACAGTATACACTATTGTATGATACAATGGTTAGATTTAATTAATATTAGTTATGTTAAAATCTATATGAAATACTGTTTTCAATCAATAATTTACTGTTTATTATACAAGTCTTAAAATTTTAGGCTTTGCAACACAAAAGCCTATTACGTGAAAATTAATTAAACTCATATACAAAGTATACTAAACAAAATGATTGCCATTTAAATTGATTCGCCCTTAAGTTTGTAATTTACAATTGATTATCGCATAAAACATCGTAAGGTTTGTGTTGTAATTAACGGCAAACACTTTGGAAATTCCGTACAATTAGGATAAACACAAAGAAAATTATAAATCAAGGCTGAGATTCACCACAAAATTTTGTGTCTTGAATATTTAGTGAATTTACTAATACTTTATGACCAAACAATTGTTGCGCTTATTTATACAAAGACATATTTATTTATTTTTACTTATAATCATATTTTGTTGTTTATTATTTAATTAATAACTATTAAGAATCCTTAAAATAGAAATATAGATATAATGTTTAATTTCAAAAAATATTATTGTCAAATAACAAGTTTAAATTAAAATAACCAAGCTGAAACTATATACACTGATTTGGTTAATGTTCATTTTTAAATTAATAGAAAAATTTACAATTTAAATTAAACCAAATAAAATATGTTTAACAAGATCTATAACTAAATTGCAATTAAATAAAAAATATTTAAATATTTTATTCAAATGGCGGTGAAGTTATGCTAACGAGTTATGGGGTAAATATTGTTAAAATTTTAGCCTCAATTAAACGATAACCCATTTATCGTTGAATATAATGGTCTGTAAATCATTGAAATTTACAAAAACTCTATCATTTTGAGAAGAATTTAAATGATATCTGTTTTACATTCAAATAAATGGAGACCAAAGTTGCAAAACGATTGCGAACTCATAATCAATTAAATACACAATTAGTATATAATTTACAAAATTTTAATTTTTTCTTCATTAAAATCTGAGCGAAACAAAGAGTTAAATAAATGATAGCATAAATGATAGAAAAATATAGTATTTAAAAATGTTATACACTTTAATGATATAATAATTAAAATAATAACAATCTAAAAAGTAATAAAAACATCACAATATTAAGAGAAATTAAAATCTTAAATCATTTGTATCATAGATAAGAAATTACAAAAATAAAAATTAAATAAACAATTAATTTATATTATAAACACAATGTATATTATAATATAAAACATAATGAATACAATTAAAAGTACTAAATATTGAAAAAAATATGCCTTAAATCACATGAAATTATTTCAGCATTTAATCGCTAAAAGACTTATTATGTATAATCTCTCAAATATTAAAACCAATTTTGTAGTAATAATCACTCGGTTTTGATATACTCGGCGTCGGCGGCTCTATGGGAGACAACTCCCGGTTCGTTAGTATTGACAACAGCTCTGAATCCGGAGCCGTCGTCTCCGTACTCAACGGTGCGCACGAGTCCAGTGGCGTCTCTGTACTGATAACTGCCGGAAACGACTCCATTGGCGTCTCCCGTCTCCGTACGGGTCAGTGTTGTGCCGAACTCGTCGGTCGTGTCGTAAGTGAAACTATAGGGTTCGGGCGCCGGATGTCCTTCGCCTTGTCCTTCAAACTGTTGCTGAGTCTGTCGGACAGGTCTGACATAACCCGATCTCTTAGGACTGGCAGCCGATGAATATGAGGAGACGACTGGCGAACGATATGAGGCGGCGGCCACTGGAGACCTAATGTTAGCACGAGATCGGGTGCGGGCTCTACGCGATGGCGACTGATAGTCGCGGGCATTGATTATAGCCACTAAAGTCACAGCGATTACGAGTAACTGTTTTTTGTCAGTAATCAAAATGATAATATAATTTCACAAATTACTTGAAATGTAATGTTGAAATACAAATGATTAAGTTAAAAGCAAAATATAATTATTGGCATCGATAATAATAATTATATTTTTCAGATATTATGACTAAATTTTATAATTTTTTTGTGAACAAAAAGCTCATAAGAATTAAATCTGTGAAATAATTTTATAGTTAACATTAAATTCATAGATTCGTTGATATATAGGGATGACATAATATTTCACAATCTGTTAATCTTAAAATATTTAATTCAAAGTTAAGTTTATTATTTTATAACCTTTTGATAATTGCTATCTAAAGAGTGTACGGAATTTACGTAAAATATTAACTAATCTTTACGTGAATTAATTATTTAACACAAGAAAAATAAAGTGAATTACTTTATGTCACTTTTATATTACTTACTATTTAGTTCTCCACTAAATATAACTCAAAAACTTACTTAAAACTTTTAAAATTAAAATTTAGTTTAAAAACAATATAAAAAGTTTTTACCTTAAAGTTGAACATTTTGACCAAAAGTATGGATCGAAACAAAACTAAACGAATGAATGGAGAATTGGATGAATTGGAGGAAAAACTATAGGAAAAGGACTCGACTTCACAACAAAAAGTTCAGAGAATGTGAACAATGAATGAATTGAGTGAATGAGAGAGAAAGCACTCAATATTTATATGAACTTGAAATATACAAATCTTTCAAACAACAATCTCACTTTTCAATTCTCTTTTCCAGTTCTCTCTCTCTCTCTCTCTCTCTCTCTC